CTGACAGTGAGCGGTCTCGTTTTCTATGGCAGGAAGAGCCGCGTGTCCTGTATGCGTTGCTATATTGAAGTATGTGCCAAGTGCCCACCTTATACCCATCTTAATAACTCATGCTCATCATACTCTTGCAGCGAAATATGGTCAATAACGGGGGTTGGCTCGATGAAGTTCTCTGGGTTGCCAACACAAAAGACAGCGAGGATCTTCAATACCTGGATGAGATAATTGCCAGCGACCCCGTCCGGCACAAGAAGCTCACTTTACCAGGCGATACAATGTGGGTGTATACATTTTCTGAAGCCTGGAAGCACTTGGAGCGGGGCAAGTTTTATGTCAAGATTGATGATGATATTGTGCGTACAGTCCACCGAGGAAAGAAGCCCCGTTTTCGCATACTGCATTGTGCGGTGCTATACTTGACTTATCCCGCCAGAACTCTGTCAATTATAGAGACGAACTGACAACGGCAGGTCTGGATCGATGACGACGCTATACCTCATCTAGTTACCGGGAAGATCAATCACCCTAATGCGTTTGTCGTTTCCGCCAATATTATCAACAACCCCCCGTTGGGCTTTATGCACTACCACATGGGCGCGTTGCATCCATACTTTCCTGAATTAGAGCCGCCGAGCAACAGATCGAATTCTTGGAGACCATCACAAGACCCGCCATGGGTCGGCACTCAACAGATCGAATTCTTGGAGACCTTCACAAGACCCGCCATGGATCGGCACAGCTGACTACACTTGGCCGCTCGATAAGGACCCCCCATACAAGGACCACAGATGGCTTAGGGCGATGGATAATAGATTGATGTCTCAGACACCGGCATCACACCTCAAATATGAGGTCTGGGGAGATAGTTACAGTAGCTGGGCGATTGCTGCTCAGATGCATTATTCTTTGCTGGAGAATATTGAAAACGAGTCGCTAGACCTATATAAATTCCCTAACCCATGGGATATGGATGGAGAGCGTATAAGGATCAATTTTATGTGTGTTTATGCAGATGATATTCTGGACACTGATATCGAACGTTGGCCAACGGACCAAGGTGATGAAGACATGATTGTTCTTAATCTGCCAAAAAAGCTTAAGCGCCGTGAGTACTATTCAATACGGGCAAGGACTAAAACGCTAGCTAATTATATGTAATTGTTAAGCCGTTATAATTGTTGGGGAAGCCTTGGGGTCCCATTTTCGGTACAATGACCAGCCAGGGCTAGACGAGACTGATATATTGGATAGATACAGAGCATTAGCTCAGGACCAGGCCTGCCTATCATCGTAATGGCTGGGATTCCAAAGGGATAAACCTGTCGGAATTTATGTTGCAAGAACTATCAAGGCAGTCAATCTTAGCGCGCTTGCGTGTTACGTTGGTTATTGGTCGTAGACCGTAACCAGGTGATCAGAGTCAAGAATCAAAAGTGTGGACTTGGGATTGTTGTCATTATAGCGTTGAAGAAAGATTATAGTCTATCTAGGGGGGAAGGTCAGAGTGTCTATTCAACCTGTTGCTATTGAACTTACTTCTGTTCAATCCTGGCTGACAGCTCTCATACACACATATATATGCTTAGTGGCACAGCCCGTGCCTCTAGGCAGCAACTCTTCTGCGTGTCATGTCTGGTACATGATTGGCACCACCGACTAACAATAAGGCAGGGATGAAGATGCGCCTCACTAACCAACAACGCCGTCAGGCTCAACAGCTAGCCTGCCCACCGTATCCATCAGTCTACCTTGACTAAACTTCATTCTATAAGACATACATAGAGAGGTTCAAATGCATAGTACATGTTGAACATGATGCAATATCACGTGCAGGTTCCAGCCTAAGCCTTCCATAAATAGACTATCTTGGTAGCATCTCTGGCGTACAAAATCAACCCCCTCCTTTCATCTGTGTTCCGCTGTGACGTTCAACAGGTCAGTCGGCAGCAAAGCCGTGCCAGTACTGCCAGTCCCAACATGTTAAATTATCTACTTGCGAGCAATGTGGAC